TTAGTTCATGGTATGATCTACACTCTTCTCCAGCACCACAACTCAGAGGGATCGATTCCTTTTCTATCATCCTTATTCATTGTCCAGCTCTCTGATGCATAGCAAGTAATTGCGAAGACCATGGCCTGGATTATATGCACCTTAGTCTTTAGGCTGACAGCATTGCTCTTCAGTACTCTGGAGAGGTACCTGACAGCAGATTTTCCCAGTGCAATTTGTCTTTTGATTTCCTGGCTGCTGGTACCAAGAGTGTTGATTGTGGAACCAAGCAAACTAAAGCTGTTAGCAATCTCAGTATCTTCTCCATTTACCATGATCCTGTCAATTGATCCATTGGTGAGAATCTCTGTTTTCTTGATGTTGAGTTTCAATCCATATTGAAGACTAGTCTTTAACCTTCTGCAGCAAATGCCTCAGGTCCTCCTCAGTTTCAGCAAGCAGGATTGTATCATCTGAATAACATAGGTTGTTGATTAGTCTTCCTTCAATCCTTATGCCTCATAAAGTCCAGCTTCTCAGATTATTTCTTCCACATATAGATTGAAAAGATATGGAGATAAGATGCATCCCTGACATACACCTTTCCTGATTTTGAACCATGCAGTGTTTCCATGCTCTGTTCTGACTGCCTCCTGGTCCAAGCATAGGTTTCGTATAAACACAATCTAGGACTCTGGGATTCCCATTCTTCTTAATGTTAGCCACAATTTATTGTGATCCACCTAGATAAATGCCTTTGCATAGTAAATGAAACAGACATTCTTCCATCTAACATTGGCTATTAATGTCCTTAGTGCCACCACTTCTTCTAAACCCAGTTTGCACATCTGACAGTTCTCTGTTGATGTGTTGTTCCAGTCGTTTTTGGATAATCTTCAGCAGGATCACGATATGTGTTGTAAGTCTCAAACACTGCGTTGGAACCCACTGACTCACAACTCTTCTGCCATTGGGTTTTCAGAGGCTGTAAATTGCATGGGAAGAGACTGCTCATTTTTCTCCCTCGGAGCCCCTGGTGGATTCCAATCTCTAGGGAGTCACAGTCTCCTTCATTATGGACAACGCCACCAGTTCACTAACGCTCTACAACAGTTATATATATAGCTGTTAGCAATTGAAAGACGTGGATTGTTTTGTATTGTCAGAGCCAAGCATAGTGCTTTCATGCTGTGAAAAATTAGAGGAGTCCCCAGAAAACCGTAGTTACTTCTACCAGGGTTTCCCCATAATGGTTATTAAGGCGGGAGGGATGTGACACTGACAAGAGAGAGAGGCAGAGCCACGCCCTCCGTAGACTCTCAAAACAACCTCTGCTGGCGACTCCCTTTAGAAAGTAGTAGGAATGCACCTTGATGGCTGAATCCCACAGGTCAGGAATGAATGTAACAGACCAAAACACTCCAAGCCACGGGCACGTAGTGGGTTTCAACACAGAGCGTTCTTGTAGGACAATGTAGAACTGCCCTATAGAACTTCCAAGACGGAAGGGAAGCTCGTTTCAAATGCACCTGCTATGGATCGGTTCCGACTTGACAGCACATCAAGTCTTCAGGACACCGACTGTAAAATCTTTCTCCTTCATGGTCTTCTCTGTCCTTCTGGTTGACAGCCAAGCACTTAGTATCTGTGCCAACAGGCTTCCTTAAAGTAAAGGGACCAAAAAAAAAAAAAAAAAAAAGACGATTTTAGAGCCAGCTCAGAAAAATCTCGGGCACCGCGCCCCCTGCCGCGCAGCTTCAGGCATTGCCGTTTCTGGGCCTCCGGCATAGGCCAACTCCAGAACTGACAACTTCCGGCCCCGAAGGTCCCCGCTCCGTGGCTCACCGAGGTCCTTACAATGGCCTATTGGCCACGGGGAACGCCTGATACCTGGAGGCCTTGGGTGTGAGGTTGCCATCTCCTCCCGAGGACTAGCGAACGCAGGAGAGCTGGGAAGATGCCCGTGGCCAACGGGCGCTCGTCCCGCGCGTGATCCAATAGCGCTGCACAGCGCGGTCTGACAGCAGGTCCGTCAGGCGGGACTAGGGCAGGTGTGTGGCGGAAGTGCAGGAAGGCGGCCAGAGAGGAGCAGTCTAGGAAGCCGCGGCCGTGGATCTCGGAGCTGGCATTGGCTCCTGAGATAGACAGATAGTAGCGACCAGGGCTCCGGGGCCGGCGAGATGCCTCTGTTCACTGCCAACCCTTTCGAACAAGATGTAGGTGAGTGTTTGGCCAGGCCTTCGAGGTGCAGTTTGTCAAACTAGAAAGTGGGCGGCGGCGACTCCTAGAACTGGGCGTCAGAGGCAGGGAAGGGGCGGTGCCGCCACTACGGGCGCCTGGATTAATTCTGGGGTCTGCTTTGGCTCGTCGCTAGCTTTTTGGAGCAGTTCTCGTGCTTGTCTGATGTTTGAAACCCCGCAGACGAGTCATTCCCCTCGCCAAACGTAGGAATAAGGAAGAGCTTGAAGCTAGCCGGAGACTGGACAAATTAAGCAATTGCTGAGTTGATGGTAAAAACTTCCTGCTCGTTCTCTAGTAGTTAAAGCCCTCATCCTACCTATTCCTCTCGCCTGCTTCACTTAGGGTGACAGTGTAGCAGTTGAGACCCTAATGTCTTGATACTGCGCTAGAGACCTGTCAACTTGCTTGTGTTAATTAGGAAGAACTCATTTTATAGGTTGCTGAAACGGGAGGACCTGAAACCCTTGCTGCAGAAGGTCAAGGATTGCAGCCTTCAACATGGATTGAAGCTCAACAGCAAGAAAACAAAGATTTTCAACACTGGGCCAATTGGCAGCATCATAATGGATGGTGAAAAGATTGAGACTGTTAACAGTTTTAGTTTGCTTGACTCCACAGTCTTGGTATCAGCAGCCAGGAAATCAAGAGACGAATTGCACTGGGAAAGTCAACTGTCAGGGACCTCTCTAGAGTACTGAAGAGCAACGACGTTTGGCTGGAGACTAAGGTGCGCCTGATCTGGGCCATAGTCTTTGCAGTTGCGTGCTATGTATCGGAGAGCTGGACAATGACTAGGGATGTAGAGAATTGATACTTTTAAGCTGTGGGGTTGGAGAATAGTGTTGAATATACCATGGACTGCTAGGAGAACAAACAGGTTTGTCCTGGAGAGGGTGAAACTGGGCGGCTCCTTGGAGGCAAGGATTCTGAAGCTTTATCTGACATACTTTGGGCATGTTGCAAGGAGGGACCAGTCCTTGGAGAGGGACATCATGTTTGGGAGGGTGGAGGAACAGCGCAGGAGAGGAAGACCCTTGATGAGATGGATTGTTTCAGTGACTGGATTAATGGCAGTAGGTGTGTCAGAGACAGTGAGGCTGGCACAGGATGAAGCAGGGTTTAGGGCTCTTGTACATAGCGTCGCACTGAGTTGTAAGTGACTCAATGGCACATAAATACAACAAGAACAACAAAAATACACAAATACAGCCAAGTAATGATTGAGCAGCTTCAGTATTTGTTTGCTGTTGCTGGAGGTGCTACTCCCAGAAATGCAGGTGTTAGGAGGTGTGCTGTTTTGGAGTATTAAAGATACTAGCCAAAGAGCCCAGAGAATTTATATTTTATTTGTGGTCATATAAAACGTGGGCTTTTCACTAGTAATTTCAAAGGTGGTGTATCTAGCTTATACATTATCTCTAGTTTGATAAAATGTGATCCCCAAAATTGTGTTTAAAAATCTAATATATTCATTTTAAGTGGGATGTATAAGCCTCATCTCTTCACAGAGAGTTAAAATATTTATAATATCCCTTGACCCTTAAATAGTCTTCTAGTATGTTCTATGTTCCCATATTTCTTTCTTTTTAGATTTGAACCCAGTTGACAGGATAAATCTAGGAAGTGTCATGGGCCATGTTGAGATCATAGTTTCTGCTTTTGGAATGCCCAATGGTTTCCTTTGTTGGCTATATTTAGTGAGACTCTGGTGCATTTTCTTTCTACTGGGAGAATTTTATCTTAAATTTCAGTCGTTCACATACTTTGCCGATGGCGAGTCAGAACTGACTCATAGCAGGTTACAAAGGCTGTAAATTCCCCATCTCTTGCACAGCACCTGATGGATTCAAATCACAGAAGAATAGCCTTTGTGTTAACAAAAGCCATTGCTGACTTGGCCATCAGAGTGCCCTAATCCAGGAGTAGAAAGGGCAGAATAGAATTAAATTTTCTTTTAAAATAAAAACTGTGTAACTCTTTCATTAAATGAACTCTTTATTAGCAATCCATTGTTTTGTGATTGAAAACTTTTCTAGTAGAAGTAGACCTGCCGGCATCACTTGTGGTTTCTATGACTCTTCTGCATGACTTGGTGGAGCCCAGTTTAGAACTTCTGTGGTGTAAGAGGTACTACTGTTCATTAAGACAAACAAGCAGGCCGAAAGCACTGCTATTTTAATGTGTAGTTTATTTTGTAGACCATAACATCAACAGAGGCTCCAAATGCTTATTTGTAGGCTGAGGTATGACAAAATTCAGTATCTAAAAGGCATTTAAGGATGAAAACAGGTTCCATTGAGGTCCACCAATAACTTATTTATTTAGTTGTTGTTGTTAAGTGCCATCAAGTCAATTTCCAACCTATGAACAAGAGATTTGAACTCTGTCATATCTTGTGCCATCCTTATCATCCTTAAAACATTGGAGTCCAAGACTGTGGACACTGTATTAGTGTTGAGAGTCTTCCTCTCCTTCACTGACCCTCTACCTTTCTAAGGACTAGCCTCTTCTAACAACATGTCCAAAATATGTGAGACAGGCTTTACCATCTTTGCCTTCACGAAGCACTCTGGTTGCACTTTCTCTAAGACATAACGTTTATTCTTTTGGCAGTTATTGGGATATTCAACACTCTTCTCCAGCACTACAGTTAAACTATATCAATTCTTCTCCTGTTATTCTTACTCATTGTCTACCTCTCAGATGCAGAGCAGGTGATTAGAAAGACTGTAGTTTGAATCAGTCACACCCTAGTCTTAAAACTGACATCATTGCTCTTCTTATCTTGGCAAGGGAGTACCCTGACAGCAAACTTTCGCTATGCTATATGTCTCTTCTTCTTCTGACTACTGGTATCATGGCTGTTGATCATGGTTCAAAGTAAGATGAAATAGTTGACAATACTTTGAGTCTTTTTTTCTATATATCATGATGCTGCTTATTGGGCCATTGGTCAGGATTTTTGGTTTTTTTTGGTGTTGAAATGGAATCCATATTGAAAGCTCCAGTCCTTGATCCTCTGCAGAAGCTCTTCAGGCTTTATCTCACTTTCAACAAGCAAGGTTGTGCCATCCGTATAATGCTGGTTGTTGATGAGCCTTCCTCCAATCCTGATGCCACACTCTTCCTCATAAAGTCCAGCTTCTCTAATGATATACTCAACATACAGATTGACTAGATAAAGAGAGAGGATACAGCCATGACACACGCCTTTCCCGATTTTAAACCATGCAGCATTCCCTTCCTCTGTTTGGACAACAGCTTCTTGGTCTAGGTACAGATTTTATGTGAGCACAATTAAATGTTCTTAATTCCCATTTTTCTCAAGATTAGGAGTAGTTAAGATCCACACAATTAAATGCCTTTGAGTAGTCAATTAAACACAAATAGACTTTCTTCTGATTGTCTCTGCTTTCAGTCAACATCCACCTGACATCAACAGTAATGTTCCTCTTGTCGCAGTCTCTTCTAAACCCACCTTAAACTTTTGGCAGTACTCTGTCGGTGTACTATTCTAACCATTTTGGGATCATCTTTAGCAGCACTTTGCGTGTGAAGTAATGATACTGTTTGAAAATTTTCACATTCTGTTGGATCACCTTTCCTGGAAATGGGCACAAATATGAATCTCTTCCAGTCACTTGGGCAGATAGCTGTCTTCCAAATTTCTTGACAGAGATTGATGGGCATATCCAAGGCTGCATCTGTAATTGGAACATGTCAGTTGGTACCCTTTCAATTCAGGTTTGAGGTATTGGACGTTATGGATCAAAGACCAGATGAATTGTCGGATGACATCAGAGATAATCATTCATGCAGAGAACAAAAAGTTGATAAAAAGACAGAGGAGAAAGAAAAGACCAAATAGATGTCAGAAGAGACTCTGAAAATTGCACTGTAGTGTTGAGAAACCAAAACAGAGGGATGAGATGCTGAAGTAAAAGAGGAGCAAAAGCTTTCATGGGGCAGCTCAAGAAGGCAGAGTAGCATAATGGAATGTGCAGAGAGCTGGAGTGGGAGAAGGAAAAAGTAAGAACTCACTTGGCATTTTTCAAACTGAAACAACTGGAAAACAAATTCAAGCCTCGAGTTGCAATATTGAGAGACATTATGAGAAAAATCTTAAATGATCCAGAAGTATCAGAAGAAGGTGGAGTGACTACATGCAGTCCCTGTACAAAAAAAAAAAAGACTTCCTCAGCACTGAAATAGTTCAGGAAGTAGCACATGATAAAGAGCCAGTGGTTAGGGAGCAAGTTTAAGCGCCATTGAGGGAATTGGCAAAAAAGAAAGGCTCAGGAATCTTCCAGCTGAGGGAATGGAATTAATAGAAAACGTGGAGTAAAATACTAATGTGTTCTAAGTGGCCTGAGATCTATACCTTAGCAGAATAATATGTTAGTTATTAACATATTATTTCTCAAAATTAACTCTCATAATTAACTCTCAAAACTCCTTTTAATTTGAAATAGTTTTAAAGCAAGTGATTCTTTGACTTGAGTATTTTTTTACGTCTTTTTTGCTTCAGTCAGTTTGGTGGACGATTTATCAATGATCTGCGTTATGCGGATGACACAACCCTGCTTGCTGAAACTGA